TCGCAACGGCAAGACAAAAGAAGAAAAAGGATCCAACATTCACCTGACCACATTCGCAACGGTGAATGAGGACTACTCGATGTTCGCCTGGCCATATTCGAAACGGCAAAACAAGGAGTGAAAAGGAAATGGAGTGTCAACAGGGACTTCCTGAACATAGGAATCCACTAGAAATATCGAGTAGAAAATCTCTCCTACGGGTCTGTCCGTAGAAGAGGAATGACATTGAATGAAGATGAATAACCACATGAAAAATCAAGGCAAAGATAATATGATACCAATATGAGAAATGACACAATAGAACAATCACAAATAGAAAGATCCAATGGGATGAATCCCAACAGAGAAATGAAATCAGAACCTGAATGGGAGAGTGGCTCCCAAACAAGTGAACAAAACAAACAGCTACTTGAATGGAAAAGTGGCTCCCAAACAAGTGAACAAAACCAACAGCTTGAATGGGAGAGTGGCTCCCAAACAAGTGAACAAAACAACGACCTGAATGGGAGAGTGGCTCCCAAGCAGGTGAACAGAACCATCAACTTGAATGAGAGAGTGGCTCCCAAGCAAGTGATCAAAGACTACAACTTGAATGGGAGAGTGGCTCCCAAACAAGTGAACAAAACAAGCTACTTGAATGGGAGAGTGGCTCCCAAACAAGAGATGGCGACAAAAAGATATTAAGAGAATAAAATGCACATCAAATGGTTGTTTGTAAGCAAAACAATCACAACTCAAAACAACCAAGATTCAAAAGAGAATGAGAGTGCAATCAAGGGAAGAATCACATCAGTCCATAAGAGTGATTTATAATCAAATGTTAGGGTCCGAAATTTTTCATACATGAATTTTTCAAAAGAGTAAGGTGAGTATTTAAATGTACTCAATAGTGGAGCCACTAAGAGAAGTCAAACACTCACCAATTAGTTGAGATAAATTTGTTTCACATAAATTTTTTTTCAAAGAGGGGAAATTTTATCAAAGAGTAAGAGTATTATTTTCCAAAATGAAAGATTTACCTCTTGATTATTTTGGCCCAATCAAAATAACAAATGGAACCAAATTTGAAAACTTAGTAAAGAGTAAGTTGACTCCATCTAAACCCAAAAAGGTTAGGGGTTTAAAACTTGCTAACCCAAGTCAAGCTCCCTACAAGCTAAACTGGGTTCTCTCCCTTAGATAAGCATTGTTTGAATTGAAATCTAATCCAAAAAGATTTAAATTAGATAAAGAAATTGAATATTCTCTGTCTTCTTGCATTAAGAATATTTTTATATCTAATAGAATATTAATGCATAATATGAATTCAAAGTCATCATTTTCAAACTCAAGTATCAAAAATATCAAAGGACACATGAGTTTTCTGAGATTTAGAGATTTCCAAGAAAGGCAAGCCATTTACACTTTCACTTTAGGCTCATTTTATGCCAGTTTTGTAATTTTTGGCACTTTGTGCTTCTTTTCACTTTTGATACACTTTGTGTATCTTTAACTTTTGGCGCTTTGCGCATCTTTTCACTTTTGATGCAGTTTGTGCATCTTTCATTTTTTTTGGCGCTTTGCGCATCTTTTTTTTTTATTTTTTGTAATTGGCTTCCTTTCTAAATCTCTAAAAGAGTATTTTCTCAGTTGTGAAATTATCTTCCAAACATAAGAGAAGAAAACTCACTCTCTTATGTAAGAAAGAACAATTCACAAAATAAACCCGATCCTATGATAAGAATGAACATCCCGATTAAGAAAATTTTGAATTAAATTCATAAGCATGCAAATGACACCTATGAGATAGAAAATTTTCATTTCTAAATTTAATTTCATTTTGATATAGATTTGAATTCAAAAATGAAATCATCCCACACAAGGAATGGGAGGGAGAGACATGCTCTTTTTTTTATGGATCATTAAAAGAAATTCTCTTTAAGTGTTTAAAGGAGTCAACCAACACTTACTTCATTTTTTAAATAAAATAGAGGTAGATTTTCATTATGAAAAATAAGTCACTTACTCTCTAAAGAAAATTCTCTCAAACGTTTGTCTTATATTTTAAACTCTCAAACTTTTCTTAAATTAAATTTTCTTTTGAAAAATTCATATATGTCAAATTTAAGGATCCTTCCATTGAAAATAACA